CAGCCCCAGGGCAGAGAGGGCCCCCCCCTTTAATTCTGGGCTTTGCGCTGTCTGGCCCTACATGGGGCCCCCTCCTGTCTTTCTTCCTCCCGCCACTTCTCTGCCCACGGAGGGGAGTCTGACACAGTCACCAGGCTGCGTGGGGAGCCTGCTGGGGGGGAGCAGGAAGCTGGGATTCCCATGGCCGGGGAACGCCCTGGTGAAAACCAAGTGGGGCTGTGACCGAGTGCAGAGTGAAATCTGCCTTTCCCCTGATGCGGGAAACCCGGCGTCTGGCCCTTGACCGCTCCCGCCACTTCTCTGCCCACGGAGGGGAGTCTGACACAGTCACCAGGCTGCGTGGGGAGCCTGCTGGGGGGGAGCAGGAAGCTGGGATTCCCATGGCCGGGGAACGCCCTGGTGAAAACCAAGTGGGGCTGTGACCGAGTGCAGAGTGAAATCTGCCTTTCCCCTGATGCGGGAAACCCGGCGTCTGGCCCTTGACCGATGTGTCCGCCTGACAGCCGGGCATGCCGGGGCCTGGGCGTCCCAGGGCTGACGGGATGCCCCGAGCCAGGGGGGTGTCACCGACGGGATGCCCCGAGCCAGGGGTGTGTCCACACTGGGTTGATGCCCGGGTTCACCGGTGCCACGCGGCCGTCCCTGGGCGGGCTGCTTGGGAGCTGGCAGGAATCCCAGGGTCAACCCACCGCTGTTTCCTGAGGGGAAGGTGTCTGGAAATGTCCCCCTGAAGCCCAGGGGACTGGCTGGGGCGGAAGGCGGGGCCCTGGGGGACGAGGGCTGTGTCCGCACGCAGCCTCCGGCACGCCGGGGCTCTGAGCTGCGATTGTCTGCCTCTGGTCCCTCCCTTGTCTGCGCTCAGGAGCTGGATCGGATCATCAGCCAGATGGTGCACGTTGCAGAATACTTGGAGTGGGACTCCACGGAGCTCAAGCCGGTAAGTGAGCGGGGGCCTCGACGCGGCTGGGCGGGACCGCGGTGGGAGCGACCGAGCGGGCCAGGCTGAGGTGAACTCCACCTCCCTGAGCTGCTGCCCCCCGCCACTGCTTCTAAACAGGGGCTGTGCCTCCCGTCGGCTCCTGGCGCTTAGCTGGAGATCGTAGAGATGGCCAGGGTGGGACCCCCGCTGAGCCGGGGCTGCAGTGGGTCCTACAGGACAGAGACCCTGGCTTCCTGCATCTGCCCCTAATGATCCCGCGCTGTCGGAGGCCTGATGGACTGGTTGGGGGGCAGGGAGCCTGAGAGGGCTGCGGTGGGAGGACTGAACCGGGCTGGTGTAAATATTCTGGGGCCAGTGCAGGCCTCCTGGGATTGTGCAGGCCTCTGCCTTGTGTCACTGATCGGGTCCCTAAATGATGGGAATGCACGGACCCCTCCTGCAAGGTGTGTGTGAGGAGCAGGATCAAGAGCCATTGGGCAAGGTGCGTGCAACATACAGGATCACTGACTATAGTGCAAGGAGTGTGCAATGTGTTGGATCACCAGCCATTGGGAAAGGTGTGTGTGATGAGTGAGATCACTACCCATTGTGTGAGGTGTGTGAGATAAGTGGGATCACTGGCCATCGTGCAAGGTGCGTGCAAGGTGCAGGATCTACAAGGTGCAGGATCACTGGCCATCATGCAAGGTGTGTGCAAGGTGCAGGATCACTGGCCATTGTGCAAGGTGTGTGCAAAGTGCAGGATTGCAGGCCATCGTGCAAGGGGTGTGCAAGGTGCAGGATCGCTGGCCAGCGTGCAAGGTGTGTGCAAGGTGCAGGATCACTGGCCATTGTGCAAGGTGTGTGCAAAGTGCAGGATTGCAGGCCATCGTGCAAGGGGTGTGCAAGGTGCAGGATCGCTGGCCAGCGTGCAAGGTGTGTGCAAGGTGCAGGATCACTGGCCATTGTGCAAGGTGTGTGCAAAGTGCAGGATTGCAGGCCATCGTGCAAGGGGTGTGCAAGGTGCAGGATCGCTGGCCAGCGTGCAAGGTGTGTGCAAGGTGCAGGATCACTGGCCATTGTGCAAGGTGTGTGCAAAGTGCAGGATTGCAGGCCATCGTGCAAGGGGTGTGCAAGGTGCAGGATCGCTGGCCAGCGTGCAAGGTGTGTGCAAGGTGCAGGATCACTGGCCATTGTGCAAGGTGTGTGCAAAGTGCAGGATTGCAGGCCATCGTGCAAGGGGTGTGCAAGGTGCAGGATCGCTGGCCAGCGTGCAAGGTGTGTGCAAGGTGCAGGATCACTGGCCATTGTGCAAGGTGTGTGCAAAGTGCAGGATTGCAGGCCATCGTGCAAGGGGTGTGCAAGGTGCAGGATCGCTGGCCAGCGTGCAAGGTGTGTGCAAGGTGCAGGATCACTGGCCATTGTGCAAGGTGTGTGCAAAGTGCAGGATTGCAGGCCATCGTGCAAGGGGTGTGCAAGGTGCAGGATCGCTGGCCAGCGTGCAAGGTGTGTGCAAGGTGCAGGATCACTGGCCATTGTGCAAGGTGTGTGCAAAGTGCAGGATTGCAGGCCATCGTGCAAGGGGTGTGCAAGGTGCAGGATCGCTGGCCAGCGTGCAAGGTGTGTGCAAGGTGCAGGATCACTGGCCATTGTGCAAGGTGTGTGCAAAGTGCAGGATTGCAGGCCATCGTGCAAGGGGTGTGCAAGGTGCAGGATCGCTGGCCAGCGTGCAAGGTGTGTGCAAGGTGCAGGATCACTGGCCATTGTGCAAGGTGTGTGCAAAGTGCAGGATTGCAGGCCATCGTGCAAGGGGTGTGCAAGGTGCAGGATCGCTGGCCATCGTGCATGGTGTGTGCAAGGTGCAGGATCGCTACCTTCAGGCACATGGTGACTCCCCTGGACTCGTGTTTCCTCTAGATTTTGAAGGAGATGATGGAGGAAATCGACTTCGACCATGATGGGACAGTGACGCTGGAAGAGTGGATCCGCGGTGGCATGACCACCATCCCCTTGCTGGTCTTGCTGGGGATGGAGACTGTGAGTCGCCGGGTCTGGGCAGAGACGGCCGCGCCCAGCCCTGGGCTCAGATGTAACTCAGCAGCCCCCACGCCAACCCCCCTCCGAGATGGCTGCATGGGCCTGGAGAGAGCTCCACCCGCCTGACACCCTGGGGCCGTTGTTCTGCCCCGAAGCCCCCAGCTCCGCAGGGGCAGAGCGTGAGCCAGCCCCCTGGACGCTCAGCGGGGCAGCAAGGTTGGGCGGTGGGCAGCTCGGGGAGCATCCACTGAGCACGGTCAGGCTCCGGGGGGCGCCAGAGCCTCACAAACCCAGTGTTCCCGGCCATGGCTTCTCGCCCGCCTTCCTTCGCCAGCCCCCCTGCATAGCCAGGCTGCTCGGTGCCTAGACAGAGCATGCACGGGGCCTTCTCGAGAAGGTCCCCCGAGCGCAGGCGGGACAGGCTGGGTCGGCAGCCCGCTCCCCAGCAAACACCCGTGAGCACTTACCTGCAGCGGGTGGGCAGGGTGACAGCCAGCAGCTCGGGGACGCTAGCAAGTCCCGGGGCCAGAGTTACCTTTGGGAGGAGCCTGGCCCAACGTCTCTGGCCCCCTGCTTGCCCAGGCCTGGGTCCAGGCTCTGAGATGTTGTGTCTCCCCCTGCCACGGGCTTCTGCCACTCTAAGGAGAGGTACATGCGGACACATGCTCCCTCTAATCTTTTCCATCCAGGTGTGGCTTTTTTTCCTCCATGTGCAGAATAATTTTTTTCACTTGCACCGGGGCATGTGCACCACCAGTAGAAATTAAACACCCGGCTCTGCTAATCAGCCGGGTGGCATTTAAATCTCTCCTGAGCAGCCACACGAGCACCCAGCTTACAGGGAACACTGATGAGGACAAGAGATTTAGATCTTGCAGTGGAGGGGTAAAAGCTGTTCCCAGCAGGAAACGAAGGCTCCACCGCCCTGCATGCCCCTTCCTGCTAAGGGCCCGCCCCCATGCCATCTCTTCCCCCCACTGCCATGGCCCGTCCCCTCTGTTCCAACACCCGTGGTTCCTACCTACGGTTTCAGTCTCGTGTCGCAGCGATTTGGGATTTCAGACGCACAAGGCTTGCTGCTTCTTAAAAACACCGTTTAAAATTCTCGATCATTTCAAAACTATGAATTGTGAGTAAAATACTCAGTCGTGGCCAAATCTCCGATGACAGGACAAGAAGCAATGGGCTTAAATTGCAGCAAAGGAGGTTTAGATTGGACATGAGGAAAATCGTCCTAGCTCCCAGGGTGATTAAACACTGGAATAAATTGCCTAGGGGGGTTGTGGAATCCCCATCACTGGAGAGATTTAGGAGCGGGGCGGACAGGCACCTGTCAGGGATGATCTAGGCGGTGCTTGGTCCTGCTGTGAGGGCAGGGGGCTGGACTCGATGACCTCGCAAGGTCCCTGCCAGTTCTCAATGATCAATTATGGGACTGATTCACTGTGTGAGGAAGCACAAGGGGCAGAGTGAAGGTCTTTAGTTGAAATGTCTCGACTCCCCGAGGTGATTCATTCGTTCTGATTAAGCTCCTTATATTTAAGGTGCGTATTAGCCTGGAGTCCTGCCAGCAAAATGTGCTGCCCATAGGCGTTTGCAGTGCCCGGCCCCTGCCCTGCAGCTGTGTTTGCGTTGGGCTTCCCCCGCTGAGCCAGGGCGCACGCGGATTGGCAGGCGTGTGGACGGAAATAAGGACTTTGAAGTGACTCTTGGCAAGTGCTTGTGCCCAGCCGGGGCACACAAACGTCTCGTGTGCAGGCCCCGGGGCAGCGCCGCTCGCAGGCTGAGCAAACCGGGCCTGGGCAGATTTTGCTTTCATCTGCCAGCGAACGGCTTTGCCCAGCAAACACGTTAGACTCACTTGGAAGCCACTTGAGGGCGTCTGGCAAACAGAGAGTGGAAGGAATTATTTGTGAAACTCAAGGGCGGGGAGGGGAAGTCTACCTGGGAAATTCCTCTTGAGGGCCCGAGCCCCCGCTGCGCGACTGGAAACGACCTCCCGTTGGTCCGTACAGAAAGGCCTTTGCAGCCCAGCAAATCATGGACTGGCAGGACTGGCAGTCCTCAGGGCCAGTCCCCTGCCCTCACGGCAGGACCACGCACCATCTAGATCATCCCTGACAGGTCTGTCCAACCGCTCTGAAATATCTCGAGATGGAGATTCCACAACCCCCCTGGGCAATTTATTCCGGTGTTTGACAGGACGTTTTTCCTAACGTCCGACGTAAACCTCGGCTGCTTCTTGCCCAATCCTCAGAGGCCGAGGAGAACAATTTTTCTCCCTTTTCCTTGTGACCCCCTTTCAGGCACTTGAAAGCTGTGGCCGTGGCCCCAGAGGAAATAAGAGAGGGCAGCCCAGAGCACGCGGCTGTTGGCTCTGAGTCTTCTTATCGGGCTAATAGTGGAAGACGTTTGAATCGTGCCAGATGCTTCTGCATTTATTTGCCGTGTGGTTTTTCCTCACCCATCTCTGCTAAGGAATGTGGCCCCCTCGGCCGAGTATCCCGGCAGAGCAGAACGCTAGAGCACAGCGTACCCTGTGTAGTAGCTCCTGTGCACCTCTTCGCCGGGCACACGGCGGGCGTGGCCACCCGGGGGGGGGTGATTTCCAGCTGGTTGAAAATAGAAGTGAGCAGCTGCATGAGTTAGCCATCTCCTCCCCGCTTCAAGTATGCCCCTGTCTGAAACCCGGGGGCAGCACTTGGGGGGTTAGCCCCTTCCAGCCTTCTCCACACTGTCTTTAGCATGGGTCAGAGCCAGAGCGGGGTGTCGCCGGGAGCGGGGAATGATACCGCCAGCCTGGCGTAGACATACCCACGTGGACAGTCCTAGTGCAGGGATTCTCAGGGTCCCCAGCACACAGGTGATTCCCCCCGCTTCCTTGGAACCTCCCATGGCAATTCCCAAAGCCACGGCCCCCGGAGCGGCCCACGCCGCGTGGCAGAAAGCTTTTCCTAATCTCCAGCCCGTCTCTTCTGCTGCGGCTTCATCTCCCTGCGTCTGCTCCCCCAGGAGGAGAAAATGGCGGCGGGTTGATCACCATCTTCTTTCTCAAAGCCCCCCACGACGTCTCCAGCTGTCTGTGGTCCGGGTGCCACCAGACGTGTGACATTCCGTCCCCCCGGAGGCGTGTGGGTCCCACCCTCTCTGTCTTCTCGGCTCAAGGCTAAACGCAGTCGGGGGGGTTGGCTCTGCTCACTGGCCACGTCTTCTAACGCTTTTATCGTTTGTGTGGCTCCCCTCTGGATCTCTCCAGTTTGGCTCCACTCCCCTAGTGCGGGACACCCAGAATGGGCCATGGCTCACCCGCTGTGGCCTAGGGCCCTGCTGTTAATACACCTCTTACCTTGGCCTTACCGTGGCCTTCTTACCACGACATCCCGCGTCTATCACATTCGATTGGTGACCCCCTCGCGCCCCTCAGCCTTTCCAGCCGACCTACCCCCCGCTGGTCCCCCCGGCACACACGGGCGTTGGATTTCTTTTGCCCTGATCTGCGCTGAATCCCGCCGGGCTGAATTCAGACCGCAGCGCTAATCGAGCGAGGCCCTTGGGAATTCGTATCCTGTCTCGGAAGCGCTGGCGACCCCTCCCAGCTTGGTGGACTGCGCCGGGCGCAGGACGGACCCCACGAGACATGGCCCCGCAGTTTGCTGATGGGAAGAAGTTGGGGGCAGGGGGCTTTGTCACAGGTGACTCTAGGAGCTTGGGGGGTACGAGCAATGGAAAGCAAAGGGCAAAGCCACCCACGGGACGCGCACACAGTGCGAAAGCACATGGGTGCCCAAGCAGGTCAGCTGCTCTTCCAGAATGGACCTCGGACAGTC